GGTTTTGGACGTAGAGGAGGGATCGTAAACTGCGTGAACAGACCACGGCCGGGAGACGTGATTTGCTTTGTATACTAGTCATGAATTTGGAATAGTTACAGTTGAATGTTTCCTGCACATCATGACGGCTTCTCTGTGTGGGATATGGGCGCAAAGTATTGTTGAGATTACATTTGCAGTCTCTGCTGAAAGTGACATAAACACACCTATAGGGCGATGCAGAGAAACGGCTATATTAAACAAAGCTTTCCCCATCCACTCTTCACTGCACTTGATAGCTTTCAGCGGCGATATTGGTACACCTTTGTACTTATGATAAAGAAGTCCCCTATGCCTTTACGAAGTAATGCAATGTATTTCTCAAATGGATTATACTTTGTGACTGATAATAGTGATCCTGCAAAGAAGTTATCAGGAAAGACATATTCCTAATCCAAGTTCTTACGGCAATGGATGCAATACGCAGGCCATTAACATGATCAGATACGGAATATCTACCTAATAGCTGACCCAAGGGCCAGTTAATCATCAACATGTTGCTTACATCGACCTCAACCACCTCTCCTAACGAAACCAAGCCCAGGATGGCCAAAGTCCGGACAAGCCTAACAAGCTCAGCGTTTTGTTTTATTTGTGTTGGCAAGAAACAGTTCATCGTCAGAAGTCTGGGGTTGCGAATTAGATTCGTGACTCGAGGAATCTAAGGCTTGAGAAGAGTTCCGGACGAATATGTGTTGGGAAGAAGATGCTGACGTGATTATGCGTGGAACTCAGTAAATTTGTACGATTCGCAGAATTCAGTGCTCTGTAGTTAACAAAAGTGTTCGGATGTCGTTGCCGCTTGTCAGCATCCCGCGGCCAAGACGTTTCTAAGTTCATCATCGCAGCCTTTAATCTCAACTGAAAACCTTCACATCCTATGCTCCGCGACCGCAAGTGTCAAGCGTTTGAATCCTTTGAGTAAAATTGATATAACTGCTCGTAATAGAGGACTGTCATAGCTCCAAGCGAGTCTCATCTCATGAAAAGGTTCAATAGAAAATGAATCGATTGAGAATGAGAGAGACTGAGGCCGCCCCGGCGTGAGGGCCGGGCGTCCCACTGCGGCCCCGCTGAGTTCTGCACCGGTGGACGGACCACGGCGCTGACACGCAGAGCCTGGAAAGCAGTGGAAAGGACCCCGCACTCAGTTAGTCACTGAGGTGTTGTCACGAGTTATGGCACGCAGCAATGGGCATACGGAGTATAGTAAAAGTGGCTTAACTATTAAAGTAGAAATAGATAAAAAGAAAAGGTCTATATATATAATATCTAAAATAGATACGTAATTTAGTACGTAATAAGTACTTTATAAAATATAATTACTATCCTTATTATATAATATACCCCCTAATTACTACTATTAGGGAGCTATTATACTTAAAATAAAATCTCTAAATACCCTTATAAAGGCTTAATTTAGTTAAATATAAATAAAAAAAAATATAAGGGATACGTATTTTTTAAACCGCGTTTATTATAAATATATCTTTTTATTTAAAATAAATAGAATTCTAATTTAAAATAGTACGTATTCTACTATTTTTAATATATAAATTATTAAGAATAAGGCTACTTAGCTATTTTATACATATTTAAATTCTTATAGTATTACTTAGTTATTTTTTTTTTAATTTCTTATAATTATTATAAATACTCTTGTTTATTACGCGTATATACTTATATTATTAAATTATTTATTAATTTTATTTTAAATATAAATATTTAATATATTTAAAAATAATAATAAGTTTTATATAATTTTTATAATACTTTTTATATATATGTTATATAATTTACTAAGAGTTTAGATAGGTAATAATATTAATAAGCCCCTTTAGGTCGTTTTTCCTTTTTATAACCTCTTATTTACTTATTAAAACCTAGTTATTAAGCTCTCTTTTTTTAATTAAGAAAATATTAAAATTATTAATTAAAATACTAAGAACTTAATTAAATTCGAGGCTCTTTTTAATAATTATAATAAGGGTAATAATAAAGTAAATAATAATAATAAGAGCTCTAACGGGCTTTTACTTATCCCCCCCTCGGAGTTTAAAAATAAAAATAAAACTAGTTTAAATAATAAGCTTTTTAAAAAAGGTATATTATATACTTATTATTTTAAAAGTTTATATTTAATATTATTTTAGGGTTTAAAAAACGTAAGGTTAGTTTTTTTTAAAAAAGTAATAAGAAGTAAAAAAGAATATTAAAAAGTAAAAGTACCCCCTATAATAAGTATAATTCTCTTTATTATTCTAAGCTTATTTAATATATACTTAATTTTTAAAAAGTTTAAAAAAGAGGCTCTTAAAGAATAAGAGATTTAATATTTATTTTATTTTAAAATAGCCCTTTAATATACTAACCCTAAGGATAATAGTTATTATTTTATAAAAAGTAATAGTTTATATATATATTATTTTAATAACTATTTAGCTAAGGGGTATATTAATATACTAATCGTTTTATAGTTAATAAACTAGGCCCTTATTAAAGTTATTATAAATAATACTCTCTTTTTTATAAATATATTATCTTTTTTTATTATTAAAAAACGCACTTTTAACTATAGTTTTAATAAAATATTACTAAGCTTTATAATATCGTTTGCTAAATAGTTAATAACTAGAAGATATATAAAAACTATATCGGCTTTTATATAGAGGACTTTTTTAACTTATACTTTTAGTCTTTTTTTATACTTATTATAATCGTTTATAACTAACCTTTTATTATATTACCCGTTTTTATATCCTAAGTCGTTAATTTAATAATCGTTCTAATTCTTATATCCTTTATTACTCTTATTACTCTTAGTTTTATAAACTTTAAAATATATAAAATACGTTTTTTAATATATATATTAACCCTTTTTTTTAATAACGCTATATTCCTAACGATTATATATTTCGTAAACTAAGCATTTAAATAATAAGTATAAGCCCGGGTCTTATTTTTATATATATATACTCTATAAAATAAGGTTATTTTAAGAGTTTAGGCCTTCGGGTTATAAAAAGTTTTTATTTTATTTATTTTAAGCCTCCGGGCCGTATTTTAAGTTCTATTTATTATTTACTTTTAAATATTAAGTTTTTCTAAGTATAGCCTAAATTAATTATTTTTAACTATTTTAACTATTTATAATAGCTTTTTATATATTATAAAAGTTAAAAAGTATATAAAAATATTCGAACTTAGCTTATAAAAAGTTTTTAATAAGTCTATTTATTAATATATCTTTTATTAATATATAAATAACCTCAAAACTACTTTTAATATACTCTTATTTTAGTTATATATTCTATATATTAATATAATAAAATTAAGTAGCTATTTTTTTTCTTTTTTTTATAACGAGTCGAATCGTTTATTGATTATTATAATTAACTAATTATATTTCTCTTAGGTTAAGGGTAATATTTTTAAAAAAGCGCTTTAGAGCTATAATCTTTTTTATAGTTTTTTTAAAATAAAAAAGCTTAGTTTTAGTAATGAATATCGTAATTATTATTTAGCGTACTAATTTCTATTAAATTAAGCTATTAAAAAAGAATATTATATATTCTTAAGATAATTATCGTATTATTTCGTTGTTTATAAAACTAGTATTTCTAACTAAAAATAATAATTACGCACTTAGTATATTACTATAATAAAGTATAAAATATCTCGTTATATAAAAATATTAAATATAATAATTAATTATTTTAATATAAGTTATATTTAAATTAGTTAAGAACTATAATAATTATAAATAAGTAAAAGTAACGTCTAGTTTAATTATAATAGCTATATAAAATATACTCTTAACTTTTTTTTAATAACTCTTTATTTCCTCTTTTATTACTTACCCCTCGTTTAGTTTAAACTCTTTTTAAAAAAGAGGGGTAGCTAAAAATAATAAATTTATAAAGTTAAAGCGCTTAGTAATTTACTTAATATATACGTTATAAATAAAATAAACTTTATAAGTAATACGGTTTTATAAAATCCGTACTCTAAAAAAATAATTAATCGGTCTATTTTTTTTAAAGTTAATATATTTTTTTATATTATTAACGATTTTTTAAGCCGCTTTTTAATTATTTTAAAAGTATAAAATAATAAAGTTATTAATATAAAATATTAGTATTACTTTTTATTTATAATTTAATAAATATAAATCTTTTTATAGCTATATATTATATTTATATTATAAAATATAAAAATAAAAGTTTAGAACTAGAGAATTAATAAGTTTTAGAGGCTATATAGAGTACGTTAGAGCTTATTTATTTTATTAATAACTTTATATCCCTCTAAGAGTTTAATAATTATTAGCTTTTTATTTTTAAGAAGTACGTTAAAAAATACGTTAATAGTATTATGTTAGTTTATTTTAAAATTAAATTAGGTAGTTATTATTATTATAAGCTTAAAAGCCTTTATAACGAGCGTTAAAATATACGTATTTTATAAAGGGTTAAGTAGTTATATATTCCCCTTTATATATATACGTACTTTTACTCCTAAAAGCGAGAAGTCGCTGCTAGGGCCGCCGAATCCGGTGGGAAGTGCCGCCGTTCTAGGCGGCACCAGCAGTGAGAGGGAGCGGGTCGAGGGGCGGACACTGCCAGGTATTAAATACTTCGTCCCGCTCCCTCCAACGCCCGCAACCTGGTCATGGCAGTGCGCCCCTGCTTTTTGTCCAAGCGCCTTCCATCTCCTTCCCTTCTACCCTGCCCGTCGGTCAAGCCACCACTTGCTTGTTCTTCCCAACTCCCTCGCTTTCTGGCATTCGTTGAAGCAATTTTTGGCTGCTCAGGCTGTTCAGGTTCTGCTTGACGCAATGGCGCCACCCACCATAAAGAGCGGCGTCGTGCCTGTCGTCTTTTGTCGTCTTCTCTCGACTCAGTACAGTACACGCTCACGACCCCTCTTCTGCCGCTGCGACGAGCGACCATCTCGCAGCCATGTCCCAGCCGATGCTCGCTGATTGTCGACCTCAACAAACAAAAGCAACCGTTGACTTTTTGAAGCGGTTCACCGACCAAGAAACACAACGTCGGATCGCGAACCAGCCGAAGCCGTTCTCGGCTGAGGAGCACGCCGACCTACGCAAGCAGCTCAAGAACGTCAACTTCATCAAGCCGAGATATGCAGACGAAACCGAGATCAATATCGCGGTCGTATGCAGGAAATGGAAACGGTTCGCCGCGTGGATCTCATGCTTGTTTCCTTGTTGGCTGACCTGTATAACAATAGTTACTGTCAAGAGCAGAACCTCGGTGAATGGCAAGCGGCCTTGGAAAACGTAAGTCGCGAGACAATGATGAGCTTCTTTCTCCGGATCAGCGAGTGGTCGATAGGGAAAATCAAATCCTGGGGTACGACGCAGGTATACATCCGGCAGTTTCAGCAGCTTTATACCACCGTCGCCGGTCGCTACATGGACAGGAATGATGCGAAAGAGCTGTATAAGGTATCTACTGATTGCGGTAGCCGACAGTTCTACAATCATGCTGACATGGGCTGGGCTAGTTCCACCGCACGATCCTGATCCCCCGGTTCGGATACCGGGCACCGAACATCAACGGGAAGCCAGTCCTCGGAGCCGATAACCTACTGGCCATCTTGACATTCAACATTGCGTATGATACTGGTATCTTCCCATCAGAACGGCAGCGCACTCAGCTGGCTGGTTGCTACCAGCTCCTCTGCTACACTGGCGCGCGGCCTGCCGAGGTCGTGCATGCCGAAAGGAAAAAACCCAAAGACGGAAGCACGGACGAGATTTTCAAGCTCCAAGGCGTCAAGTCCCTTGATGTTGAGTGTGGCAAAGACGCAGAGAACGTGGATTATGATGACCAACCATCACAAGACAAAGACTCCCTTCTCCTCGACAGATTGCTGATACAGGAAACAGCCGGGCGGGGACGTCCGAAAGCCTTGTG